GAGAGAGAGAGAGAGAGGAACGGATGGAAACAATGCTGTGATACAAGACAATTGAAAATAGGCCATCTAAGTATCTAAGTAAGTAAGTTTGCCGTTGTCCGCCCTTCCTGCCTCCGTCCTTCGAACGAGCCTTGAAACTCTCGGGGAAAATCTGTCTAAAATACGTGCCGCTTGACCCAGCAACTCTTCTAACACTTAAGAATAAAATTGCTTTTTTCAAACGAATGACAAAACGAGTCCACGGATCTGATGAAATCTCATCAGTCTCAGTTTTACTACCCTTACCAAAAGAGAATGTGAAGAATGGGATTTCTCCAATTCTTGTTTCATCGCTGACGCGTTTGATTGAGATGTTTTTAAAAGCACTTAATGTGCCCTAAACGTGCAAAGCTTACCATTTCCTCAGTCTCTTCTCCAAGGATCTTTAGAACGTGTGCCTGTTCACCTGGATTATGAATACGAATAGAGCCTCCTCCTAACTCCACACCATTCATCACCAGATCGTAGTGTTGTCCTAGAACACAATTTTTATGGGCATTCTACTTTAAAGTTGATGCTACACTTCAGATGACACCTCCTACCAGTAATTTCATGAATTTTTGCGGGATTGTTTAGCCATTCGCGATGCTCGCCGATAGGGGCAGTGAAAGGATGATGCGTGCTGGAGAGTTTACCTTCTTCCACAGTAAACAGAGGGAAATCTACAATCCAGTGAGCACAGATCTAAAAAACGCCCCAAAAAATTCTTATTATTTGCTACACACGGATTGCTTATGACATGCAATCTGCTAAGCTTCTTTTACACCTTTTTCTGCTGCCGGAGCCCTCCAACCTCAGCTATCAAGTTCCGTAGTTGACCAAGCGTCCACTGCACTCCTTCTTCATCGCCCCAACTGCAAAATAGAAAATGTTCGGCTAACAAAATCTCAAAATAATGAAGGCTTGCAGCAACCTGAAAGCAACACAATCCCCATCCTCCACAGTACAGAATTTGCTCATCTCAGCTGCGCTGAGGTTCTTGAACCACACTTCCCTATTCTTATCCAAAATAGCAAAGGGCTGCAAATTGAACTGCTAATGTTTCTGATGGATTTAAAGAGTATGACACGACCCACCCTAGACAGCTTATTCATATTTAAGATTCGTTGGAACTCCTTCTTCACCGATCTTTTCATGTATTCAGCCTGACCTTTGCAAACGATAAAGCGTGCTGTCCAGTCCTTGGAAGAAGTTGATTTCCGGAGATAGCCTGCAATCAGATAACTGTTTGCAACATTTAGCAAGTTCAGTACACTAGAGTAAAACTTCACCCAACCAAGCTGCTCTGTGCAGTCTTCAATTTTCCACGGTATTCGCATGTCAGGTTTATCACTACCATAAAGACGCATCGCATCCTTGTAACTCAAACGGGGAAAAGGTG